GTGCTGGGGGCCATGCGCAGAGCTGCCCAGCCTGAGTCACCTGCACTCAGTCACGTGCTCCACGCGGCCAGCGGGCCGCACTTCAGTCTGTCTGAAAATGCACTGGCAGGCCCCCAAGCCCTCCAGATGCCAGTTTGACATGCCTGGTGGTGTACACAAATCCTTGCTTTGATCAGCCTGGCTCCATTCCACCGAGCGCCCCCTTCTTTTTGCCAGGTGCTGGGGAGGGGACACTGAGCGAAACAGAGAAATGTTCCCGCCAAAGGCAGAGCCCGAGACTGCTGACCACTCACCTCTCAGGTTGTTGATAAAGACCCCCGCGCTGATCCTGTCCACTGCCAGTCAAGGCCCCCAATAACCCTCTCTCTTGGGGCACCCAGGTGCGAGAAGCTGCTCTGGGTCCAAGCCACGGAGCCCTTGTTTAATATTTACCTCCCACAGTCAGGAGTTGGGTGAATTATTTCCCTTGGCAGGCAGTGACCTCTGCCCAAAGACCTGCTGCACCCATAGTGCTGGTGGGGGGCAACCCTTCCCCAGATCACAGGCATTTTGGGGAGGGCAGGTGCTGGATGTACAGTCCCTAGGAAATGAAGCCCAACGCTTGGGAAGCTTGGGGGGCAGTGACTGGGTTTCTCTGGCTCCACCATAGCCTAGCATGCAAGGGACAGCTCCCCAGTGGGTGCACGTGGGTATCACGCCATTTATATCTCTTGAGGTCCAGGCCCCACATGCTTATTAGAAGCCTGCCCACATCTCTCAGCTTCCCTCCTGTGCCCCCCGGCCTCACAGGGAGATAAGGGGATCGGCAGGAGCTGGTGGAAGAGAGAGGAAGTCCCTGCAAGCTAGATTCCAGCCCCTGCTGTTCCTGCCCAGCCCAGCTGCTGCCTACAGGCCCCTTTGCTGCTCCACTCTTGTCTCCCCCACCACACCCAGCTCTTCTAATGCAGCTCAGCCACGCCACTCCCCTCCAAGCGCCGCCCCGCCCCCCTGCAGCTGTGCCAATGCCCCTCCATCCTGATTCACAGCCGCCCTGCAACTCCAGCTCCAAGCTCCCCCCCTCTGCTGAAGCCCTGCCCTCCTGACCCCCCCCAGCTCACCCTCCCCCCTGCTCTCACAGCCCTGCCCCCTCCCAGCTCTGTGGCTCCTCCTGACTCCTGCCCAGCTCCCCCCTCACTTTCCTAGCCCCAAATCCCTTTGTGTTACACTTCCTCAGAGCTTCTGAGGAACAAACCCAGACAAGGAGGGGTGGGCCTGGAGCAGTATGGCTTCTGGGGCTGTTTATTGGCACAGATTCTTAAGAGTCAAGTGATACTCACACACTCACACATATCACAGTCATGCTGGCAGTCTGGAGACAGGCTGCCAAGTGCCGTGTAGATTATTTCAGATTTCGCTGGTGGCTGGAGTGCTGGACAGGTGACCGCTTCCTGGAGACTCGGCCATGATGTTCCCTCTGGGCCTGTCCCAGGTTTCTGCTGTGATGTTACATTTTGGCCAAGAGCGAGGGAGAGATTTTCTGGCTGCGTGTCCGTTAATGTATCTGCTCGCAGGGTCTTTGTCTGCCTGAAAAGATCATGGATCCTCAACTGCCTTTTTGGTTGGGTATTTCTCATTCACACTTCACACACAGTGCACAGGTTCCATACGTATTCATAAGCAATATGGTTTCTAAGCAGAGTGGTGTAGCAATATCGTTTTTCTGTAACCATGTTGGAAGGCCTGTAGCCATATTGGTAGGCATGAACTAAAGCCTTCTTCAACAGCCAGAGTGGAGAGCAGCAGCCATTAGCTGGAAAGCCTGGAGTCATAACCTCACATTCCATCTAAATTGCATTAAAATAGTGTCACACTAGGCTGTGAAAAGGCGACCTTGTCCTAATGGCCCCCATTGTCACCAGATAAAGAAACAGATCTCAAGATGGGCAAAGAAAACTTAATTAACAGCATTTCGTCTGGCAAGAAACTGCTTATCAATAGTTGTGGTTGTGGAATCCTCATTCTTTGATTATTGGCCTCACATTTTCCTATTGTTTGTCTGTGTGATCTCTGTCCGGTTTGTAACCATTTCTGTCTGCTGTATAATTAATTTTGCTAGGTGTAAATCAACCAAGATGGTGGGGTATGATTGGTTAGGTAATTCTGTTACAGTATGTTATAATCACACAAAAATCATTGGTGAAGGCAGTGTTTCCCAATTCTATTTGGCCACGGAACCCTTTTAAACTTGAAAGAATTTTGCAGAACTCCCAATAACAATCTAATATATGGACAACAACGCTGAGTAGTGACATCATCGTCCCCACTCTCTGGCTAAGCTGGCATTACACAGGGGCACTTATCGTGGCAAACACAAATGAAAATTGTTTTCAATAAAATTCATAAATGCTTAAATATGAATTATTTTTAAATCATAAAATGTTATTGTAATGGAATTTTCTCGCGGAACCCTTATTTTCGCTTCATGGAACCCCGGGGTTCTGCAGAACACCGTTTGGGAAACACTGGGTTAAGGTGTAGCTAAGCAAGACTCAGGTGTCACTATATAAACTGGGGTCCAAGAAGGAGATCAGCAAGAAGAGCATCAGGGAAACAAGAACAGAAAGGAACACCAAAAAGAAGGGGAAAGATCTAGAAGAAGAACTCACCTCCAAGACACAGCCTAAGACCAGAGTTGACAGGATTATCCAGAGAGACTGATCTTGCCTGGCCAACAGGGGAAGTCTGCCTGCCTTGATCACGATTGGTGAGCATGACACTGTGTGCATAGCATGTGTATTCTGGTTGCTTGGGAATTGTCAATAAATAGAGGACCTGGAAAAAGAACTCACCTCCAAGATCAGAGGCCTAAGATCAGAGCTGCCAGGACTCTCCTGCACAACCATGACATGCAGCAGCTAAGATCCAGAGAGCCTGACCTTGCCTGGCCAACAGGGGAAGTCTGCCTGCCTTTATCAGGATTGGTGAGCATGACAGTGTGTGCTTAGCATGTGTATTCTGCTTGCTTGGGAATTGTCAATAAATAGAGGATAAAGATAGTACTGAGTGAGGCTCTTACAGTGGCTACAGATCCTGCAAAACCCGCAGGAAGTTCCGCCCTGAACCCTAGGAATTAGGTAAGGGTGGGTGTGTAAATTAACAGGGTTGCACCTTCAATCCTAGGAACTAGGTAAAGGTGTGTGTCCCTACAGTGTGGAAGCGTTAGAGAAATTTGTGCAGGTAACAGTGGGGTCTCATAGCGTTGAATGCAAGAAATTGCATTGTAACATACCAAAGGCATGATAAAGAGCGTAACTAATTATAACTAGGAAAGCCGAGGTCAGAGAAGAATGGAAAAGCAGAGGAGTATGTCTTGTCAGCTAGACACCAGTGAAGAGGAGGGAGGGGTGTTGTCTGACTGGTTACACTTTGCAGGGTGGGAGCAGCACTAAGCTGGCTGTGAGGGGCGGACATGTTTCCTCTCCCTGCCTCCGGCATGCAGACAAGCCAGGCAGGAACTGAGTAGCAGCTGCCAAGAGACAGCCCAAGGCAGCAAGTCTAAGGGCCCCAAGGGCATGGACAACCCTGAGGGCTGCAATGGGTGGGGAAGGGGGAGGGCAAACTATCCATGAGCTTGATGGGCACTGGGCAAGTGTCTAGAACCAGACCAGTGCTCTGGCCTTGTCTGCTTCACCGGGGACCATTGCTCAGCTCCTGCCTTGCACAGCCCTGGCACCGGTCACCTTCCCACACTGCACCTCTTCCAACACAGGGCCTGCACTGAATGTGCAACTGGGACCCTTTCCAGTCTCTTCCATCTCCCCGGCCCTGTGACCCCAGCCCCACAGCTGCTGAGGGCTACTGCGGGCCCTGCCTTTCCTTGACACCTGGGCGTAACATAAGACCGTAAGAGCAGCCATATTGGGTCAGACCAAAGGTCCATCTAGCCCAATGTCCCGGCTTCTGACTGGCCAATGCCAGGTGTCCCAGAGGGAATGAACAGAACAGGGAACCATCAAGCGATCCATCCCCCATCATCCATTTCCAGTCTCTGACAAACAGAGGATAGGGACACCATTCCTACCCATCCTGGCTAATAAGTATAGATGGACCTAACCTCCATGAATTTATCTAGTTCTTTTTTGGACCCTGTTAAAGTCGTGGTCTTCACAACATCCTCTGGCAGGGAGTACCACAGGTTGACTTTCTCTTCACACCTCAGTCTCCCTCTTTTCACCCATACTGAGAGCACCAAAGATGCTGAAGAACTGGAGAGGGTGCTGGGAAGAGCCGTGGACACGCTCTGAGCACAGAGAAAATGCCCGAGAATGAGAATGGAAGAGCTCTATGGGGTTAGCTTATTGCGTAGATTAAGATCAAGCAGCGGGGCGTCTTAGTGACAGTGTATCAGCACCTCCCTGGGCAAAAATACCAGCTTCTCTCTGAGCAGAGACTAGGCATGCAGGAGCCAAAGGGTTGGCTCTGAAGGCAGACACGTTCTGACTAGACACAAGGCCTGGCTTTAACCGTGAGGGTGGTTAACCATCGGAACAGGCTGGTGGTGGATTCTCTTTCTATTGGAGGCTTCAAAACCAGCCTGGAGGCCTTCCCGAATGGTGCTGTAGCCAAAGGCAAGCGAGGGGGCTCCGCACAGGGGTAAATGGGTCACAGTCTCTGGCCTGTGCTATGCAAAAGGTCAAGCTGGAAGGTCTGATGCTCCTCAGCGAGCTGCGTGACAGGCACAAAGCACGAGACGGGCTATTTTTTAAAGCTGGTATATTTAGTTTTGTGGAGGCTGCGTTATTCCCAACCTGCGCCGTCCCCCCATTGCCTCCCAGCATCTGCGAGCTCTCGGTTCCCCATTTAATGTCGTCGCAGATGGAAGCTGGGAAGCTGCGGCGTGGAAGTGAAAATGCTGAGCTTGGGGATCAGGCAAATGCCAGCTTGTACGAGGCCCACCCCTCTGCCCCCGAGGGCCTCAGCCCAGCAGGAAGGAGACCTTGCTTTGAGTGCACCCTGGGATTGTCACTCCCCGACCGCAGACTCAGCTCGCACGGCTGGAGGCTGAGGAGATTGTGGGAAGGCGATGCAGAGACCCATTCTCACCCGTGTGGGGAGCTCTGCACACAGTTAACTGGCCTCTGTAGGCCCGAGGCCTCTCAATCTTTACTATATTTATCAGAGCTGTCCCGTCCATTCGCTCACCTGGGGGCCTGGCACGGGGTGGCAGCAGGGGTCGCCCCCCCACTCCCAATTGACCAGGGGTCACATGTTGACCAAAAAAAATGCTTTTTAACATCTCTAATGTGCACTTGTTCGTGCCCCTTTTCGCTGGGGGAGGCTGCATGGTGACTGGTGTGTGGGTGTGGTCAGGGCAGCTGCCCAGCCTGGCACGGGGTCTGGAGCCATCTCCAGTGAGGTTTT